TTTTTTTTTTGAGCAGCGGGGTATATACAGAAGGATAGGCACTAATTATACTCACCATTCTCAAGTATGGATTACTTCCTAGGCATGTCTGACAAAGAATCGGAAAATCTGCATCCTCCCAGTTCTTTCGATTGTATTGTGTATATGACGATTTTGACATCGACATGATTACCTACAAAAAATTCCGCCGTTTCCTGACAAAACTCTAAGATCTCATGATGCAGTATAAATAAGAATAAGTAACAAGTGCTTGAACACCTGGCACAAAATAAGAAAAACAACACATCAAAGCCAATATTTAATAGCAACAAAAAAGACCATAACTTACCAGTGAATAACAAAGATCAGCCTAGCATCAATAACAATTAGGGATACCTCTAGCATACCCAAAGCTATTAACAACAAAAATTATTTCAGAAAACATAGAAATCTGACAATATAGCCACTGTGATAATGAAATGGGAAGATGAAAAGTGACAGCACATGACTATGTAGACAGGAGAGATTTCAGAAATGTTACCGGATAATAAATAGTAGGAACGTGTCTTCATAAGGTGTTAAGGTGCGAACGAAGAGTATCAGCTAGTTTCGCAAGAGGGACATCCTGAAAAATAGTTAGTTCTGTGATTCGACACAAAAATCAAAACATTACACTTGAAAATTTGGAACAACAAGGACAATTAATCACACCTGTTCTTCTCTTGTTTTCACATTTCTCAACTTGATGACGCCTTCTTGCAACTCGCGTTCGCCCACAATCAATACATAAGGAATGAGTCGATCCTCGCAATACTGCAGCTGCGTTAACAACTTTGGATTCGCTTTATAAGCCATTTCCACCTGAACACAATGAATGGCGACAGCGCAAGAAAAAAGAGCAAAGCTTGCCTTGAAGCCCTCATTCCAAAGTTGCCCGCATAGCTTCATGCGCTCTTGCAACAAGTTCTTCTGTGCAGATGCGATATACACTTGTGTTTCAGTGGTACGCACTTGCATTTGTTCAATCTA